GGCCGTTGGGGCGCGCGGGCAGCCCCTGGAGCGGCCGTTGGGGCGCGCGGGCGGCCGTTGGGATGGCCGTTGGAGCGGCCGTTGGGGCGGCCGTTGGAGTGGCTGTTGAGGCGCGTGCCGGGCCCTCGGCGCCGCGCTCTGCCCGCCGGCCCCGCTCCTCGCCCTCGCTCGCCACTGGCGGCAGGTCGCGCTCGCTTGCCCGTGCCCAAGGGTCGCCCGGGGCGCTCGGGCAGCGGGGAGGGCTGCGGAAGCCGCGGTTGCTGCGGGAGCCCCAGGGCTCAGCGTGTTGGTGGTAGGCGGCGTTTGGGAGAAACGGAGCCCCGAGTGCGAAGGGGAGCTGAGAGGAGTTTGTGCATTCGCGGCGGCAAGAGCGTCCGTGTTCCCGTGGAAAGAGCGTCAGCCTGTGGTAGCGCTCTGTATTGCTCGAAGGGAACGGCTTTGCCCTTGTGCGCTTGCCATTGCGACGGGAAAGCGTTTGCAGAAGCGTTGGACTTGTGTGGCATTTCCTTCTTTCTTCTTCCTTTTTCTTCTTTTTCTTTTTTCTTTTCTCTTCCGTTTATTCCTAGCCTCTGCCTTGTTTGTTATGTGCTCCCCCCCTTAACCCTTGGCAAGCAATAAAGTCTCATCAAAATGGAAGATGTGCATGGGACTCTAGGAGAACCCTTTCACTAGCAATATTCCGACATTCATTTAGTGCAAGCTTTAGCTAAGTTTAAAAAAACCCCCAAAACTACCAAACCAATAGAGCAAGGCTGCCGGGGCTTCGGTTTCCGTTGGAATACTAAAAAAGCTGCAGAAAGAACCTGAAGGGAATGTGTCAAGCTGTTCTGCCAGGCTTTTCTTCTTTGCCTTAGCAAGTACAGTGTTTAATCACCGCAAGACTTACAAATGCGAGTCTCGGTGGCGGCGCTTACAAAGAATGCTTGCTTCTGTGCTGTAGAGAAACTCTTCAGGAAAGATTATTCATTTTATGAAATCCTAAAGGTATGTAGAGATAAGCACCTGGGCTTCCAAAAAGCACGATTTGTCTCTCGTGTGGAGTTTCATCCCAGTTTCCAATAAAGAAAATACGAAGTGATCTCACTGGGTGTTAACAATTTCAGAGCTCTTTCTCTCTCAAGGCTTCTGTTGGTGAAGGGATATTAAAAAGATGGAGCCAGCTATAACCTTAAATACAAGGTTCACCTCCAACCTATCTAGTTCTTCATGCAGTTTATTCCTTGTCCCTGCCATAAGAAGTTCAGTATAACTCTGTTTAGAATGCATGCAAATACATACAGGGAGAAAACAGCACTGTCTCACCTTCACTCTTCAGTAACACAGCAAAATGCCTGGAAAGCCAAMGTTAAAAGTTTAAGCCTCTAGTTTCCAATTGATTCTTTAAAGGCCAAAAGATGTTTAAATATGAAACTACCTGTAAGAAGGTCCTGATATGGTAGTGTATTTCAGGTTAGTTTCTCCTTGTTAGCTCAGTTGTTTCATACCAATTTGCGATCATTTGCAAATAAGTTCTGACTATATTTCTCTGTCATAATGTTTGTCTTTAGGAAATTTAATTTTGGGTTTCCATGTGAAAAGCAATAGATAAGATATTAAAAGCATATTACAAGCTGATGTGTATCAGATATTGATTTCTTCAGCAATGCTTAAGTTTACTGGCAAATTCATATTAGGAATTTTAGATTTCTTTGCAGAATAAACTGCTTTATAACATATATTAAACATGCAGATATATTGCAAGATACAGGTCTTTTATTTTTATATATATAATATCTATATCAAGAATATATATAATATCTATATCAAGATATGTATATATGTAAAAGAGGTGATCCAAGTTTTCTGTATTAATCCTATGCTATTAAATAGATATACTAATTAAAATGTGTGATCCTCTAGAGGAAATAACTGTATGTGAAAGGAAAGTCAGCTTTTAATCAAGAGCTAATCTTCGTCCTTATAGTCCTCTTCTCCCCTCCACCTTATGGTGAATGGTAATTATGAGGAGCAGAGTCTACTGAACTGCTTTAATACTGAGGATGTGTTATATATTGCTCTGTTATGCAAGTGTAGAAAGACTGTAATGTTTGCTCCTCTCATTCACATGATGCTTACCAGTGTGTTCTCTTGACTGCTGTTTTTCTGGTACATTTGATATGATACTAGTTCAGGAAGACTGTTTTTCCATATCAGAATGAACACACGAACCCTTGGATTTTAAGACTGAATCCACCGCACCGTGTTTATTTGTTTTGTTATGCTATGTTTCTATGCTCCAATGCAAAGCCTGCAAAGCCCAACTCATTCTCAGAAGTTAATCATTTGCTTTAGGAATGCTTGACTTGAAAGGTCTCACAAAAAAAGCATTTTTTTTGTCCCTTTTCTCCTCTGCTGAGTTTCTAGTACTTCTTATAAGGCAGAGGGCAACAATAGAAATAATCCCAACCTATAATCTTAATTTCTTTCAGTATGAAATTTGAGATTCAATTTCTTCAGTCCTTAGCAGGACCCAACCCATTGCATTGATTTTTTAAAATTTTATTTATTTATTGAAAAAAATATATTTTGTGTTCATGAAATAATTATGGTGGGTTGAACTTGCAACCTGTGGAAGAGTGATGGCTTTTCTTACAGTGCCATTCCCTACCTTTCCTGAACGCATCCTAGGGTTCTAAGGAGTAGGTCCCAGGGTAAGTGGTTCTGGCTGTCTCTGTAGTAGAAGCTCATTTGCTTGTCTCCATCTTAAAGCTATGGGGAACAAAATCTCTCAATATTTATGTAAGGTGATACATTAATGGGAAAATGCAGAAAATACTGTTAAGTACTGGCTTTAAATTACATGTGTGATCAACATAAATCTAACATTCTCCACTGTCTTGCAAATGTGTTTTGTAGTCTTAAGTTCTGGAGGGCTCACTGCGTACTGACATCGTGTCAGATCTGCTTACCTCTGTGTTATATATTGCTCTGTGTGGATGGGCCTGGTAGATGAGGTCTTCTGCAGTGGGACCTTAACTTCAGTGTTAATAGCTTCAGTGTCCAGCACAACACCGTGTCCCTTGCTTCCTCCTACACCCCAGCCGTGTCAAAGGCATTTTTTGGACTAAAAAACCCAAAGGTAATAAAATGGTTTTGGGGTAATTCCTGAGCCTATAGGGAAACAATAGCAGATCACAGAATGGGGACCAGGTATGGGTGAGCCAGGTCTATCCAAATAAGAAAACTATAGTACACTTTGAGCTTGTTAACAGTTAAGAGCGACTGGGCTAACTTTTTAGGAGCTATAATTTGTAGCAATAGAAGGTTGTGCAATATTTGTAGTTTCTTCTCTTTGTGACCTGTGTTATATGACCACAGGCACCATGGTTGCAGATAAGAGCTGATTTATGGTCTGGTCGGCAGTGGCTTTCCTCCCACTGCTAATCCTATGGGAGGACTCCTTTATGCTAGTGTGCTGGCATGCGATTTTTATTTGTTTATTTATTTTCTAATACAGTCTTGTTCAGTTCTGCAAACTGAGAAATGACCTGTCTTGTAGACTGGCTTTCCCGAGGTAGTTAACCTATCTGGAAATATAATCCTTAGGCTCTTTGTTTAGTGCTCCTCAAAGTATTTTGAGGCTGACTAGTATATAGATTTTCCTGTGGTAAAACAATTGTATTTTTCAGGGCATTAAAAAAGGTATGTAAACTGTAAGGCTGTGCTTCTTAGAGAACCAAGCACCTGTTGGGTGTGCTAAATTCTCTCAAGGTCTTCTGCTTTCAAGAGAAATCAGGTCAGTATGCTTCCGTGAACCAGCGAATGAATTTTCAAGAATTGAAAATGCTGTAGATGGTGATTAGAATTGACTTAAGTAGAGTATGGTTTTTCCAGGAAAAAAAAAAAGAATTATCCACAACTCTTGATTTAGTGTTGTTGTATTGCTCTCAGTGAGGATAGCACAACAATACAGGTCTTTGATCTAGATATTCTATATCTTGATATCTTTTATGTATGTATATTTAGTATGTATACCAAACGAATGTCATACATTTCCATTTCTAATAAGCTTGACTTTTTTTCTTTTTTTTTTTTTTTTGGCTGTCTGTTTGCTTTTCTTCCCTCTGCAGTCTGTTTCACCGAAAGTGGCTTGAATTGCACTGATTCCTACCCCACTAAATGTTAATCTACTGCTCTGAAATGGTGGGTCTTTTGAGGATTACCTGCCACATTTAAGATGCACTTGTTTCTCTTATCATGCATGTAAGTCTCYAGAACAGCAAATGAGTATTTATTTATTAAAGCAAGTCCTGCATCTACTCAGCTGGTGTATTGTTCATAGATAAGAAATATGTCTCTCTAATGGAAGTAAGGAGAAAGTGAGAAGACAGGTAATAAAACAGTGGAGAGAGAATCCGCGCAAAGCTTCAGGGTATGAATTTAGGAGRTTACTGGGAGTAGAACAGTTCTGTGATGTTTGGTTAGAAAGCATTTGAAGTGCTCTCGATAGCAATAACTAGGGGCGTACTAAGCTGCTCTCTTGTTACCGAGTAAAAACTGCATTTGGTGATTTAAGAACCGTTTCAGCAATCTGTAGATCTGTCTCGTCTGCTTTATATTAGATTCTWCTAGGTATAGCTAACTGCTTACTGTGGAAGAAATGATGAATATTTGAACTGTGTTTTGTATTGCCATTCTAAAGTCT